ACTATATAATATATACAATAATACATATATAAACCCTTCCTTTTAATTGCTAAATGTTAACAAATTAGTATTCTTTGACAAGAAAATTAGTGGATTAAAGACATTTTTTTATTTACAAATTACAGTATTAGGGTGGCATGCAAGCAACCATCACAGTTAAATACTCATTCCCTACGGCATGTGTATTTATACATATAAATTTAACTAATGCAAACCCCTAATTGCAACTGCTACTCCGGCACATCTCTTCGTCGGACCACCGCCGGAAGTCCACCACTCACGTTGGCAGTCAACCCCGGAGAAAACCGTAGTGTCTGACTAGGATTCACCACTCTCACATCAAACCTCCGAATCAACGACAGTGAAGCAATTTGCATTTCCATCAATGACATCTCCTTCCCCAAACAAACCCTAACTCCACCTTGATACACTGGGTATTTGTATGCACTTTCGGGTTTAAACATCCCATCTCGGATCCATCGATCCGGCTTGAACTCCAATGAGTCGGGGCCCCATATTCGCTCCATCCGACCCATTGCATATGGATGGTATGTGACCCGACTCCCTCTCCTCACGAAAGTGCCATCTGGAAGAACATCATCTTGTTCTGCGAACTTGGAATCGAATTGGACTGGTGGGTAAAGCCTCATGCTTTCGTGTAATGCTGCTCGTAAGTAATGCAAGTGTCGTAGGTCTCCAAAGCTGGCTAGTGTGTCAAGGGTCGTGCCCATGACCCGATCAGATTCCTCACGGATCTTTTCTACGACTTTCGGGTTTTGTGACAGTAACAAGAAGAAGCTGGTCAAGGCGGACGCCACCGTGTCTCTTCCGGCTAAAAGAAAACTGATGACGATGTCTCTGAGGTAATCATCATCACTGATGGAACCCATGAATCTTGAAAGCAAATCATTGTTTGAAGAAGGACCAGTTACTCTTCGTGTCTTGATCACTTGATCCGCCATTCTTTTCACAATCTTGATGGATTCTTTGAGCTTTTTCTCACTCCCCAAGTTGAAAAGTCTCTTCATCTTCCATACCAATGGAGTCGGCGCCAACCCTCTTTCGGCGCAGAGCTTGGAGCTCAGATCGAAGGCTGACTCGAGGTCTGAAACAGGCAGTGAGGGTTTCAAGCTACCTGGATCCAACCCAAATGAGAACTTACAAATGCTATCAAAAGAAAACCTCCTGAAAATATCTTGCAAATCCAAAACGTCACCGTCTTTATCGGCCACCGACGAAAAGAATGGAATAAGCCTGGATTCTATCTCTTCTACCACAACACTCAAAGCGTGCGATCTAATAGACAAACTCCCAAGTTCCAAACTCGCCATTTTCCTCTGGAACCTCCAGCAATTACCGTCGACATTGAAAATACCTCTGCCAAGGAGGTCTCCGAGAATGGCGGAAAAAGCTTTGCCTTTTGGATAGTTATCAAAATTGGTCTTGATCATGTACTCAACGTTATCTGGGTTGGCGGTGATGATGTTATTGAGTACGTGAAGATGGATGGTTCCGGTGGGAGATTTACGGAGGAGGTGTGTGTACCAGTCCGAAAGATTAACGAACTCAGCCGCCCAGCTCCGATTGATGAAGGCGGTGCAGACGTCGCAGTTGCAGCAGGGCTTGAGACGGAGGATGAAGAGAGATAAAGAGAAGAGGGAGAAAACGGCGGTGAAGGTGAAGAAGAGAAAGCAAAATGAAGCTTGGAGTTCCATTTGTTTTGATGGTGATGAAGTGATGATGGTTGGGGATATGGTTTGTATTATATAAGGCGAATATTGGATGAGGGGGAGAAATGGGCAAATGGTAAAAGATGAGGGGGTTGGGGTGAATGAATAAATAGGTCATAAGTAAGGCATGCGTGAATTGGAGGTTGGAGGGAGGGATACACGTGGTGAAGGCGGAGGGTACGTCATGGCTTATTGCAAACAACACTCCCGTACCCACGTGCTTATTTTAGTTTAATGTTTTTAGATATTTCGAAGTTGTCAAGTTGGTATTTTGAGACTTGTGGTGTGTGCTTACTTTTCGGGTAATTATTAAAAAAAGGGGAAATTTATAGATATAAATTAATTTTAAAAAATTTAAAAATTAAGAAATACCCAATAAATTTTCATATCTGAATGAATATCTATATTATATTATATTATAAAGCATTTTGATAAACACTCTTAAAATTATTTTTATGCATAAAGTATTGTTTATTGATGGATAATACTTAAAATTCAAGATTACAAATAAATTGTATATAAGTAGAACTTATTAAAGTTTTATGTTTGAATTCGTGTAACTAACTGCAGATAATCATAATCAAATAAAGAATAAACATCTCATTTTAAAATATAATTAATATAATTATTGAGTTATAATAGAATTACTTAATTATTATCTTTATAAAAAAATATATTATTAAATTTAAATTAAGTTAGTTCGTTGCATTAAATTAAATTATAGTAAAAAAATTTGAATTAAAAAAAATACACAAACAAAAACTTTTAAATAGTTAATTTAATACTAATATTGATATATTTTTTACAAATTTTATATGATATTTTCAAATTTATATTTTATTCAAAAATAAAAACATTTATCGTTTTCTCAAAACCACATAAAATCGTATTATATCGACATAGATAAAAAATAAAACGAAACATTGAAATAGAAATGTGTCTCGATGCATTGCATGAGTATCCTTCTAATTTATTATTAAACAAATAAATTCTTATTTTTTTAAAAAAATTAACTAAATAAAAAATTGTTCAAATATTTAATTAGTAGTTTAAATTGAAGAGTTTGAAAAAACTCAATAACTAGCATATTTTGAATGATTAAGTCTTTAAACTATTTTTTTTAATGAAAAAACCATTAAACTTTCTCATTTTGAATGATTAAGTCTGTGAACTATTTTTTTTTAATCGAAAAATCATTTAACTTTTTTATTTTGAATAACAAAGTCCCTAAACATTTTCTTTGAATAGATAAACCATCAGACTTCTAAAACTTGCTTACCTACATCTTTTAATTAAAAACAAACTACATATAATTGACTAGGAATATTTTAAAATAAGAACAAACTTACATCAGTTTTATTGTGCTCAACCCCACACCACTAAAACCCCTCACAATCAAACGATATCACTCCCGCTCACCACTCTTCGCTGCCTCAACGTTGTCCATTATTCATATCACCTAACATATTTTTGGCATCGACCATTGATCTCCCTTTCTTTGATCTATTTGTTATCTATTAAAAGAGGAAAAAATCAAAAGATAACCGGTTACAAATAGTTTTCTAGGTTAAAAAAATGTATGTAACCAAATTTTAAAAGTTTGATTGTTTAATTTATTAAAAAACTGTTCGATTACTTAATCATCCAAAATGAGAAAATTCAACGATTTTTTCATTCAAATGTTGAAAATTCAATGGTTTTTTTATTTAAAGAAAACAGTTCGAGAACTTAATCATTTAAAATGAGAAAATTCAATTGTTTTTTAAATCAAAAAAATAGTTCATGTACTTAATCATTTAAAATAAAGTAATATATAAGAATTAAAATGGGATAATTTGTAACATCAATGAAGAAGTGATTTGGATATTGGATGTTTATTTTTTAAATCATATTCTACAACTATAAATTAATTTATTTCTGATGTTATAAAATATTATGTGATAAATTATAAAGTACATAGTAACCAGGTGTTTTGATAAATTAATTATATATAAACCACATATGATTTGTATATTAGAGTTAATTAATTTCAACATGTCAATTTAAATATTTATTTATTTTATTAGTTAGCAACACTTTGTCAGATAATTTGCTTAACATAAATTTAAAGTTGTCTGAAAACAATTAACAACCTTGATTTTCTATTAATAAAATGTTTTATTATTCGGGGATCCAAGGTGTTGCATTAACGGAAAAGAATAATATATAGAGGGAGAAAAACGATCAAATGTAAACCATTTAATTTGTATAAAACGTGTAAATCTCATTCAATCAATCATAATTTTGCATTTTGTTCATTTTTTGTAATTATGAGACGTTGATTAATCATTTTCATTGTGTAGGGTGTTAATCATGGATATTATTATCTTTATTATTTTAATTTTAGAAAAATATATGAAACAGTTTCATTAAACTTTCATTAAGTATTATATGAAACAATTTCATAACCATATATAAAACAACTTTATCAAAAAAAAAATTATATGAAATAATTTCACAAAATTAAACAATTTCATGATTTTTTTTTCCATAAGATTAAATAATGAAATCGATGGATGAGGATGGTTTGTACGGTTTGTACAAATTTGGTGATTTGCAATCAGTGGTTCTAAACGGTAGTCCAAATTGGTGGTGGTGGTGGGCAGTGGTTCAGAACGATGGTCGGCATTGGTTTAGAACGATGGCAGTCGACAGTGGTTCAGAATTGTGTTCAGATCAATGGTGGTTGACAGTGGTTCAAAACAGTGGTGGTCAGCAGTGGTTTGGATCGGTGGTTCAGAACGGTGGTGGTCGGTGATGGTTTAGATCGTTGGTGGTTCAGTTTGGTGGTGGTAAGCGATGATTCAGAATGATGGTGATCAACGGTGCTTCAAATGGTGATGGTCAGCGGTGGTTCAGGTCAAATAGGGAAGATGGGGATAATTGTTTTTTTAGAAAATAGAATGAAATGTAATTGAATTCCTTCTCAATTGTGATGGAATAACCAAATCCATGAATGATGTAATGTATGGAATTCAATATTCCATAGGTAAACAAAACGTCCGAATAAAATTTGGTGTGTAATTGGTTATTTCAATTCCTTCGAGTTCCGTCGGAATCCTGTGACCCCCCCCCCCCCCCCAAAAAAAAAGAGCATTGTATCTCCAACAAATTTCTTTAAAAAAATAAACAAGGATTACATTAATTTCCAACAGATTCCTTATTTTAGAGAATCCAACATTGATTATAATATTAAAATATTTTATTAGTCTATTAAAACATTATTTCACTCTTTAAATATTTATTTTCAAAGTTTTTATTGTAGCATAAAATTCGTTCATATGCTGCATTATGGAATTAATTGAACATAATCATCTTTTATAACGAAAAAGGACTTTGAATTTGTTTGTATATTTAGAACTTAATCATTAGTTTTATGAAAAAATCAATCAACTAGTCATTTTTTAGTTGAGCATCCACCAAATAATTGTTTTTTATAAGATATCATGAAATAACTAAGAATTTCACTTGCACATAAGTTTGTAAGGGCTTCAATGCGACTTTTACGGGGATCAAATGGCTGAGAGAAAAACTCGTTAATTTGAAGAATTGGTCTACTCGACATGAATTAGGCATTAATGAAGCTTTTCTTCAACAGGCACGCGGTTAGAGCCCCGGGCTCCTCCCACTGCTATGATATATATGTCTGGAGCATATTTGTGCAGTGCTGGGCTGGAGACTCTCTTCAGATTGAGCCCAAATTTTTTATTAATTTAAATTGAATATTCATTTTTTTTTTCATTCGAGAACAAGAAGTTCGACCTCCTTCTAATTTTTCATTTTTTTTTCTTATATTTATTTGGATTTTGGGGACTTATATTGAATGTGAATGTGTCTCACAACCAAGAATAATTCAGGTGGACAATTCCGAATCTGCTTTGTCTACGAACAAGGAAGCGCTCTAGTTTCGGATGAGCTTCTCCCAATTATGGGTTTAAGCTTTGACTTTTCATATCTCGTAGGCCATATCTCAGCCAAAAAACTGATTTGGCCCACAAATACACAAAATGTTGCAAAATCTCACCATTTTGTAGAAGTCACCAAGCTGCGTTACATCCCTTTCAATTGGTCCCTGGGGTTGTGTCTCAATCTCCTATGTGGGAAATCTAAGGGGTCTGTCGAGATGCTTCCTTGCAAAACCCGGCTGTAACTCAATAGAGTGAGTTAAAATAGGCCCGAGAGCTATGAAATGAGAGAGTTTCCTTATCGTTCTGGTAGGCCCAACAGGTTCGCAAGTTTGACACAGACGCATATCATCGCAAATTTAGTTAGGCTTCTTTGGGAGTAGCCGTGAGTTAGACCATTTAATCTTATTTGACTTCTCAATGTGAGAATAGTTGCATCGTCCCATCATCTATTATTATTCGATTTTGTCCCCAAATCAACCTAAAAAACTGTGCCATGCTCTGCATGTTAGACTTGCGGAGTTGCTAGTCCCTCTACGCATACATGAAATCCACAAAATGTGGTGATTTTGCCACGATTTCCCATATCGTGGGTTTGTTCACTGATTTTTAAATGAGATGTACCACTCTATCTGCCATAAAAAGTAAAAAATTACTGGTTCAATAATTTTGCCCGATTTTATAGAATATCTTACACAAGGAAAGTAATTTACTTATATTATAACAAATAAAATAACTATATATTACCTAATTTAAATCAATGAAAAAAACGTTTTAGATATGTAAAATATTCAACAATAAAAATAAAATCACGTAACGTGTAAAAATTTGATACATGTTTATTAAAAAATCACTTCAAACATTTCTTTTAATTTATATTTTATTATTTATGGTATAATTTTTTCTAAAATAACGGTTTTGTATTAACAACATGTGTTGTGTTTGGACTAGACTACTACATAACAATAATTTCACATTTTTCTAAAAAAACTTGATTTATTTAAATAATTAAAGCTGTTATTAATTAGTCATGCAATGTTT